TGTGAGTTTAAAAAGTTTTGTATGTTTAGTATCTGAGATTTAAGCCGACAAAGTTCGTAAAAACGTCGTATCGGGGTAGGATTGACAAAGAAAAAAACTGTTTTTTTAGTACAAATGAAACAAAATAAGCTAGAAAATGTATTGATCGAAACTCATAAACATGTCTAGTTATAATCACATGAATTATAGTGTACGAGGCACGGTCAAAAATTTCATTTTTCGGAAAAAAAAATTCGAGCACTATTCCAAAACCAACAAGTTATATTTTGGTCGGATATTATAGTTTTAGTCTATTGTAGGCTTCGAAAACGTATTTTGATTCTTGATAACTATCTCTGTTCGAAATATGAATTTTTAGAACTTTGCAGTGTTATACCTCTTTTTGAAAACAATTGAAAGTTTGTTTTTGATCACAAAGGGTGGGATTGATTGATACTGTTGATTGAATGAAAGCTGAGGAAACTCACTAGCGAATTCAGATGTTCAATATTGCCTTTCATTTAGATACAGGGTGTGTTAGATTTTGTTGAAGATTATTTAACATGTTTCAATTGAATATCTCGAAAACAGTTCCGTTAATTTGGATCTCATTTTACATACACTATTTTCAATATGATGACTATACCATATGCAAAAAGTTTTTCAATTTTTTATGTTTCGTTTCTGAGATATGCATTTTTGAGTCTACAGTATTACAGGTATTATAGTGTTATTACCTCGGATATCACTGAAATATCTCAGTGAAAGTGAAACTGATGGCATTTTTCCTTTGGAATTTCGAAAAGAACATTGATGATGGCTAAAAATAGTTCGAAACACATTCAAACCACCTTGTATAATACATGGTTGAATTCAGAATAATAATAACGGAGAAAAAAAAAATAAAATAGAGATTCCAAAACTTCACTTTTTTCGATATAACTGAAAAACTAAAAAAAATTTTGAAAATTTCCGAAGGCTGTTGGTATGAGCCTCCGAATGTGCAACTTTTTCCCCATTCAACCGACTTCGTATCCCCTACCGTTTCCGAGATCCCCATGCTGTGCAACCTTATCTTGGACAGACTGTATATCTGCCAAAACGGCTCAGAATTCTGAATGTTGAATCACCCTATATCTGTTCCGATTAAATATCAGTAAATAGTGAATCAAAAGTTGAGATTGGGACATGTGAGCCGTTTTGACCGATAATGAATAGTTTCGACACAATAATCCTGAAGTTGAAAAATCTCGATTTTGAACACCCTATATCTCTGTAATCATATTTGATAGACCCCAAGTGTGATGTATCGATGGAATCAGCTCTTCAGGCAGAATCTAAAAATGCGATAAAATACAGGGTGTTGCAATGTTGCAACTATTTTCTAGTAGAAGCGGCAACACTATACATTGTCGCATGTATTTTAAATGATCCATGACTTAATATGGGACACCCTGTATAGGTTTCGATTTCATGGAACCAAATACTTATATGTTATTGCATTATTTGAGCTCTCAGTTATTGATGCTTGTGTCCAATCTATGAGTCTTCATACTGACATCGTTATTCGTAATTCGTTAAGCCAGTAGTAAACAGTTTAATCTGTGCAATCGCTTTAGTACAAACACAGACTTTATTTCGTCAATATCGAGAGAAGTGATAAATTGGCTAACTGCCTCTTTCCAATATCAAATTAGATAGGATTTGCCAATAAAAGCCCTGTGTCAACCCATAAACGTTCAGACCTTGCCAATCTGCAGAAGTTACGTTATTTGCCGTACATGATGAGCCGAACGGAGTCTCATTTCTTATGGTCGGTCGTCTATTAAGTATTAAGGGGTGAAGCGGTTCATGGTTTATTGGTTTTTCAATTAATGCACTGGGCAGTTTCCTTCTAGAAACAAAAATCCACATAGATTCTACATTGAAAGTATCCCTATCGATATAGGTAAAATTGTACCAACAGAACCGTATATGTAGGATATGGTACTGCAAACCCTTTTTTCTACTACTGCTATGAAAAGTAGCACATTCCTCATAGCTTATATACTTACTTTCAAAACCATGTATTGCCCATACTGTGAGAAACATTTTTTCTCACGGCACTTTGCCAACACCATACATACATTTCCATGGAGAATCAACAAAAATCGATCAAAACTTATGGCTTCTGTTCAGCTTTGAATAGTTGTCACAACTGTCAGAAGTTTTTTAAATTCTCTAGGGTAGTTCTCATTAGTGCTTTTCATAGAAATCGCATTTTCCATCAAATATTGTTCCAGCAATGCATAATAAATAATATGATGTATATACACAGAGATTTGACGATTTTGATAAATACACCACTAGAGACAGGGATAATGGAAAAAGCTGCGAAAGTTGGATTTTTTTCCGGAAATTTCAAGAAAAAAGTATGAAATGGCATATTGGTACGAAAAATTTATGGACTCTAAAAAAATACCGAAATAACTTCTTTTTCGGAAAGTGTACTTTTTTGAAATACTCTGAGAGGAACTATAGAGGAAAGACATCTATTCTTTGGTCACAATATTCAATGTGGCATAGTGCCACATTATAAAATGAATATAGCAATAACTAACATTACTCGGATTCTTTGAATGAGTGCAGGTGTAGAAAAAGTATAGTGTGCAACATGTGGGGAAAAGCACTTTTCCCACTTGTTGCACAATATTCTATTTCTTATACCCAGACAGCACCAGATATTCCATGAATATTGATAGAATATCATTTTTTGATATTGGAAATATTCAATTACATGCCAATAAGGATATACATATATCTTCTACGGAATGATCCCTCTGAATAATGTGCTGGTGGGGAAGAATGTAATAAATATATTCCCTGGTATATATTCAGAATGTACCTATAATATTCTAGAAAATCAAATGTTCAGATAATATTCGGAATATTACAGAGGGATGGAACAGGAATATTAATAAATGAATATTCCTGAAATATTCCACTATACATATTCATTATTAAAAAAAGCTGACCCAAGACGTGCTCTAACTCATGAATTTCATATTGTCAGAGCAACGACGCCTCAACCACTAGGTCAGTATATATACAGGGTGGGCCACCAGTAACGCCTCGGTCTCTAGAAGGCTAACCACTTATCTTCTTGGAATTCTTCCTCTCTAGGAAGTTGCATGTCAACATAGGCTACCATTTGAAATTATTTTGAAACATACAGGATGTCCCCAAAAATCACAAAACACTGAAGTTGAACTTTTTTCAATCGAATACCCTATATATTATTTCATTTTGAGATTCTCCCTGATGAGCTGATTTCAACAATCCATCATACTTGGGGTCTAGCAGTTATAATTACTGAGATATAGGTGTGAGAAATCGAGATTTTCCAAGTTCAAGAATTTTTTGTGTCTAAACCATTCATAATTGATGGTCAAAAGGTTCACATGTCCCTATCTCAACTTTTGATCAACTATCTACTGACATTTAATTGAAACAAATACAGGGTGGTGCAGAATTCAGAATCTTGATCACCCGGTATATGTCCCAATTAAATATCAGTAGATAGTTAATTAAAAGTTGAGATAGGGGCATGTTAGCCGTTTTGACCAATTATGAATAGTTTCGACACAAAAAATTCTTGAACTTGGAAAATCTCGATTTTTCACACCCTATATTTCAGTGATTATAACTGCTAGACCCCAAGTATGATGGGTTGTTGAAATCAGCTCATCAGGGAGAATTTCAAAATGAAATAATATATAGGGTGTTCGATAGAAAAAAGTTCAACTTCAGCAGTGTTTTGTGATTTTTGGGGACATCCTGTATGTTTCAAAATAATTTCAAATGGTAGCCTATGTTGACATGCAACTTCCTAGAGAGGAAGAATTCCAATAAGAAGATAATAAGTGGTTAGCCTTCTAGAGACCGAGGCGTTACTGGTGGTCCACCCTGTATATAATAGAGTTGAATGATATTGTACATAACAATTTCTTAGAGTGTTGTTCAGAATTGGATCCTGAACACTTATTCATGTTTCAAGATCTGATTGAGTAATTTGTTCCCAATTAAAATTGTGGTGATGGCTTTTGTGTTACTGACGAGGCTGATGCTGATGATTGAAGCCATAAGTTCATTCGTTCAGGGTTCTTTGGGAGTCTAGAATATATGAATATAATGTAAATAAGTGTGTACCTTTGTCAGTTCGATATATATATAACCAAGAAAATTCTAAAATTCAAACTTACTTATGAAAAGAGGATTCCTGTCTATTTTTTTCTCCTCAAATACTGCATTTCGGTTCACTAGACATGGTTGAAAAAGTTCAGTCTGAAAAATAAACGAATACACAAACACTGAAGAATTGTACAACTAAAAACGCAAAACACAATCACAATCAATCACATACGCGCTAAAACCAATTCAAAAATTTGAAATTCGTAGTCGTTTTCGTAGCCATATTGGTTCAACAAGTATTTTTTCCCTACGTCGGCATCAACGCCTATTGGCATAGAAATCATAGAATGGCAATGAACCATGAACTCAATATAAACAACGAGGACAGCTTTTCATACAGAGTAGTAGATATATGAGAATTGCGCCCTGTCTCTTTTGTGTCCTGTCTAAGTCCTGTCTCTAGTGCACTAGAGTTCCTTAATGTACTTGACACTGCGCTGTAAAAAACGTCAAAACAGCAGTGTCAAGATGAGTGTCAAGTACATTTAGGAACTCTATAGTGCACGTTTCTGTTATTCTGTTTCTTGTACTTCTATGCTCATTTCTTTCTTGTGTTCCAGCTTCTTTTGTTCTGTGTGTTTATCCATATTCTTGTGCTCTGTGTGTTTATTTAATTTATTTTGTTCTGTGAGTTTATTTCTTGTGTTCTGTGTTTTGTGTCATTTGTCATTTCATTTGAGCCATTTAAGTCATTTCTGTGTAAAGAATTAAAGAAAGAATTGGGTTAGGATAATTGTGATTTCAGTTGATTATTTATTGAATGGTCTAGAGAGAAATTCTAATCTTCAACTATGGGTCGACGATCTATAAACACCACTAAAAGTGGTAAATACATGAATCCCACTGACCAAGCACGTAAGTACATAGGAACACTTTTGTATGGGGCCCAAAATCGAACTTTGTTCAAATGTCGTTTTCCTTGTTTTTAGGAAAAGAGGCCAGAAAACAGGAGTTGAAAAAGAACAAGAAACAGAGGCAGATGGTACGGGCAGCAGTATTGAAAGGCAAAGATCCATCTCAAATTCTGGAAGAAATGGAAAAGATTGACCAAATGGGTAAATCAATAACACAATCATTGAGATGTAGTTTGTTGAAATAACATCATTATTTTTTCTCAGAATATAATGTCAACCATCCCTCCCCATTAAACGAAAAAGTATTGAAAGATAAAAGAAAGAAACTTCGAGACACCTTAGATAGAGTTCTTAGTATGTATGTAAGTAGATAAAATGACCTAGTCCCAACATGAGACTTATTGAAGTTAATTTTCTAGTACAAAGATGATCAGGAGAAATGGTCAGATTTGAAAAGAAGACAGAATGAGTATGAATCCAAAAGAAACCAACTGGTGACATTTTATGAATCAGTCAAAAGTGCTCAGCAAGTAACAGTGGATGAAATTCCATTGCCACAGTTGCCTCAACAGCCTACATTGGCAAATAATGCTCCTGCCCAAATTCCTCTACCTACAGCTGAGAGAAAACAAGAACACACTATTTATTCTATTGCTACAGCATTGAAGCTACAAGCCCTGGTAAGACATTTCAAATACTAAATTTTTATAGCAGGGTTGGGTATGTTAAATTTGTAGTAGGGTCTACCTATCTTTCACATTATATTTCTTTCTTCAACAAATTTTAAGTTATGAGAACAGTACTTGGTTCATGGGTATGTAGGTATATTTAACATAGATTTGTGATGCAGTTTCTTCAGAAGAAATAAAGGGGCTCCACGAAAGGGACATTGTATACAGGTTGAATTGAATTGGCATTAGAAGTTTTCCAACTTGTAGGTAGTTGGATTAAAAACTTGAAAATTGGTATGCTGTTATAATTCATCATTTATAATCTACTGGAAATACTTTAAGTCCTCCAGTTACACAGGGTGTGCAAAAAGTCATCACCAACTTTTTTATTTCAAATAGAATTCTACAATTTTTTCACATTGTTTAATTGGCCTTGTAATTCTGAGTTGAGAAAATCTAATTTATGTCAACATATCTATCCATGTTTTTGAGATATCACTGGCCCAATATAACAGGTGTATATTACAAATTTAAAAACATTGGCCTGATACTCTAATGCTGGGTTTATAGATTCAACTGAACTAAGAATTAAACTAACACCTATGAATTTAAAAAGTTGACTTCAAGGAGATATCTATGAGGGTTTATACATTTACATCTGTCATTTAATATAGAATTAAGAATTACAAAGTTGGCCAACTTTCAACTTAACAACTAAGAATTAGGAAACTCTGGAGGCAGAACATGAAGATTGGATTTGTTATTATTCAAATGGAGATTGGTGATATTGAATTGGAAGATTTATTATGGAATCAAAATCACTTTTTAACAACATTTTGACCTTTAGTCAATAGACATTTCACATCTAATTCTTAATTATTATCAGATATGTATAAACACCCTCATGATTATTAATTGTTGATTGTTAATTGTTAATTCCCAATTGTTAGTTTGATTGAATCTATAAAATGAACCCAGCATTACAAAGAACTATGTTGTCTGAGCAACACATAGAACCAAGTTTGATATACCCATCAGTATAACAATGAATACAAATAGGAGACAATAAGGGTGTATGTCATTTTGCTACTTGTTTGGAGTTCCAAAGATGTAGGTTCATACATAAAACCCTATTTAATTAGTATAATTAATGGAAGTGCATAGACTGCCGACCAGTCGGCAATCTATACTTTTTTTGAAGCTGCCGACCGTTCAGCAGACTATACTCTCTGTTTAGGATGCCGAGCAGTAGATTAAAATCATCAATTTTAAGGAAGTAAATACATGATTTGAAAAAAAAACTCCTGAAAAATTGAGATATACTTACGCAAACACAACAACCCATTGGTGAAACAAAAACCTGATAAAAAAAATCTTGTGAACTAACAATGGAGGAAAAATTAGATTTGAACATGGGACCACAGGATTGACAAGCCAATGTCTAACCACTAAGCTGCAAACCATCTTGGATCTTTTTGGAATACAGAAAGAATGTATTCCATTGAATGGTCAGCAATTTAGAGAAAAAGTATCACAAAGCAAGCATCCCAAAAACAAGGTATAGACTTACTATTTGTTTTTGGGTTGCTGACCAATTTTATACAGAAAGAATGTATTCCACTGAATCACAGATTAACAAACCTTAAATGGTCGGCAGTCTAGAGAAAAAGTATAGTTTGCCGACTGGTCGGCACCCTATACACTTTCATTATTAATCTAGTGGACAGCAAAGTTGTATGTTGAAGCATACACCCTTGTAAGCCACCTCTTTTAGATTCAAAGGATCAAAGGTCATATTCAATGAAAAAGAATTAGTATTTTTTTTTTATCGATTGGAGCGCACGAAAGGGAATCCCTATAATGTTCAAAGAACATCGTGCGTTCCTAGGGAGGATAGGGACAGGAGGTAGGTATTGGCTCTGAGCCCTGAACTCTGAGCTCTGGGCCGGGTGATTTAAGACCTGGACCAACTATTAGAACCCAGCAATCTCATGTTACTGTTGACTCTCAAGTGAAGTGGAGGTTATCCCAATGATCCTGTCTAAAAAAGAATGCTGCTAAATCAATTGCATACCTTACCACAGAATAAGATTGGAGCCTTACATACAATGTTCGAATTGAACGGATGCTGGAAGATGAAATAGAATATTCCAGAAATGGAATAATAAATTCCAATAAGTATAATAGAATAACATTTTTTTTTGTACTTTGTTTTTATTAATTGAAAATCCATTTTTTCTTCAGTTTATTGAAGCTTCAGTTCAAGATTAATCTATTTTTCATTTTATTAGTATCTAAATCATTTTTTAAAAGCTTTTATTTAACTTGCAATGTATGTATGGATGTATGTGTGTTTATTAGTTCAGGTGGAATCTTTGGACACAATTTTGTAGTAGATATCTTCAACCGATTGAGCTGAAATTTTGTATACACGTTTAGTTTGGATGACAATGCACGATAAGGTGTGTGAAGTCATTCTAAATCCAATATGGCGGACCATCCAATATGTCGGAATAGTTATTTTCAATGCACTTCTACAATATGGGTATCAAATGAAAGGGCTCGTTGGGAGTAACTCCAAAACTAATGTGACATCATTCTGAATTCAATACTGCCGACCAATTCGCGTTGTTCGTGTCAACGGCAGTCGCGTGCGAAAAAGGATAACTTTCCGCACTTGTTAGGAAAATTACTATTTCAGTGTTCTATGTAATGTGCTTTTCTTTCAAATTTCAAGGGAATCCAAATACAATTGCAGATGTAGGTACATTTTCTGTGATGCAGATTAAATACTCTCCCCTCGTAAGGGTACCTGTCGTGTTTCCATAGAGACATAAAGGTGAATATCTGTCTATCTGTTTGCTTGAGAATCTGGAAAGGAATTCAATATATCGCCTTCCGTACGAAAATAAGGATCAGAATTTTGAAAAGTATACTCTGGTCAGTTCTATTTGCGGATTTTCTATTCGGTCCGACGTGGCTGGATGGTTTTCTCCAATCTATTGCCAAGTATCAAACAATTTGCTTTTCGGATCTGCAACTAAATATCATATCAGAAAGTCCATGAGAATTAGAACTGATGTTGAATCTGAAACATACCTGCATAATATTTCCAACAACCGTAACTGGAATGCTTCATATTCGCTCTCCTTCCGAATAGTGGTTTTCCCAGTAGGCATCTGCTGCATTTTGAATTTCGTGGGTTATGATAAGGACCATAAATTCCAAACAGTGTGCTGCTCGGATCTAAAACTAAGCATCAATTTGAAATTTGAATCGTGAGACGTACATAGAATATAAATCTATAGAGTCTGAATATTGTTATCAACATTCGTAACTAAAACGCGATATATTTTTATGATTATTCATCAACTCTCTCAATGCAGACGAGGTAGGCAGATAAACAACGATTTTCTCTGCAATGAAAAACACTGTATATACCTAACCCACCATGCGCCGACCTCCTTTGCAGAGAGGGTTTATGAACGCCGAGTTGATACTCTCCCCTCGTAAGGGTACCTGTCGTGTTTCCATAGAGACATAAAGGTGAATATCTGTCTATCTGTTTGCTTGAGAATCTGGAAAGGAATTCAATATATCGCCTTCCGTACGAAAATAAGGATCAGAATTTTGAAAAGTATACTCTGGTCAGTTGGTCAGTTCTCTTTGCGGAATTTCTATTCGGTCCGACGTGGCTGGATGGTTTTCTCCAATTTATTGCCAAGTATCAAACACTTTGCTTTTCGGATCTGCAACTAAATATCACATATCAGAAAGTCCATCAGAATTAAAACTGATGTTGAATCTGAAACATATCTGCATAATATTTCCAACAACCGTAACTGGAATGCTTCATATTCGCTCTCCTTCCGAATAGTGGTTTTCCCAGTAGGCATCTGCTACATTTTGAATTTCGTGGGTTATAATGATGCCAAACAGTGTGCTGCTCGGATCTAAAACTAAGCATCAATTTGAAATTTGAATCGTGAGACGTACATAGAATATAAATCTACAGAGTCTGAATATTGTTTTCAACATTCGTAACTGAAATGCGATATATTTTTATGATTATTCATCAACTCTCTCAATGCAGACGAGGTAGGCAGATAAACAACGATTTTCTCTGCAATGAAAAACACTGTATATACCTAACCCACCATGCGCCTACCTCCTTTGCAGAGAGGGTTTATAAACGCCGAGTTGATACTCTCCCCTCGTAAGGGTACCTGTCGTGTTTCCATAGAGACATAAAGGTGAATATCTGTCTATCTGTTTGCTTGAGAATCTGGAAAGGAATTCAATATATCGCCTTCCGTACGAAAATAAGGATCAGAATTTTGAAAAGTATACTCTGGTCAGTTCTATTTGCTGATTTTCTATTCGGTCCGACGTGGCTGGATGGTTTTCTCCAATCTATTGCCAAGTATCAAACAATTTGCTTTTCGGATCCGCAACTAAATATCACATATCAGAAAGTCCATGAGAATTAAAATTGATGTTGAATCTGAAACATACCTGCATAATATTTCCAACAACCTTAACTGGAATGCTTCATATTCGCTCTCCTTCCGAATAGTGGTTTTCCCAGTAGGCATCTGCTGCATTTTGAATTTCTTGGGTTATGATAAGGACCATGATTGCCAAACAGTGTGCTGCTCGGATCTAAAACTAAGCATCAATTTGAAATTGAATCGTGAGACGTACATAGAATATAAATCTATAGAGTCTGAATATTGTTTTCAACATTCGTAACTGAAATGCGATATATTTTTATGATTATTCATCAACTCTCTCAATGCAGACGAGGTAGACAGATAAACAACGATTTTCTCTGCAATGAAAAACACTGTATATACCTAACCCACCATGCGCCGACCTCCTTTGCAGAGAGGGTTTATAAACGCCGAGTTGATACTCTCCCCTCGTAAGGGTACCTGTCGTGTTTCCATAGAGACATAAAGGTGAATATCTGTCTATCTGTTTGCTTGAGAATCTGGAAAGGAATTCAA